CTTTTTTCTTATTAAGATATTTGCAACGTCAATTTAATTCATATAACAATTGAGAAACATCAAAGGTCTTGGGATGTTGTCCTTAAAAGCTATTTTCAGAAGTCATTTCATGTCCATTTAGTTTGTCCGCCCGGCTTCTGTGGTCGAAGCTGTCCTCCAGCAGTATAGACAACAGATGGACATGAGCCAAGCTATCTCATCCAAATATATCGGAGCGTTACCAGAGCTAATCATCAATACAAAGTTGCGCGTTGGGCGGATCACAGTCCACGTCGTGCCCATGTAATCTCCGTCCACCCACATTGCATTATTTCCGACAGCCGGCAGGGGCGCGGGTCCGGCCGCGGCCGTGGGTGGGGAGCCGTCGGACGGAGCCGGTCCTCGCCCACAGTGGTGGTCGGCCCGGCGCACTCCTCTATACTCGAGGAGGGGGTGATCTGGAGGGCAGGGTAAGGACAGAGTGACCGCGGGCTGGTCAGCCAGATGACCGTCATGGCAAATTTACGGCCCTGTCCGGTGCCATCGCGGCCGTTAGCGCACGTGACAAGCTGTGGCAATGTGCGCGCGGCGGCGACGGCGGATTTCTGGCTCGCCTCGGAGCCCAAGTCATGTCGCGGCAAAGTTCCGATGGCGGGTCATCGATAATTTGTGCGCCAGTCGGCGGGTCTGCCCGAGCTCGTTATGGAGATAACCGGCGCTGCTGCGCTGCGATCGGCGACCATCCCGACCTCTGTCTCCTCCCAAACGCTGCCTTTCTGTCTTCGGATGGCGCCCAATCTCTTGTTTCTCAACCCTCTACCTCCACTTTTCGATCAGTCTTTTAGAAGTCTCAGCGGGTGTGTTAACTAGCTTTTGTCTTTTTTCCATCCTCATTCGTCTTTCCTTTAATCTCTTTTTCTCTGAGCTCCTCACTCTCTTTTCAACCCCTGTCTTTCTCTACCTTCAGTTCAACGTCTTCTCTCTCCCCCGCTCTCTCTCTCTCTCTCTCTCTCTCTCGCTCTCTCTCTCTCCCCCTCTCTCTCTCTTTCTCTCTCCCTTTCTCGGCCTCCTCTTTGCGTCAGCCGCAGCCGCGGCGCCTGTCGCGGGCAGGTAGGCAGACACTGCTATTGATGGGGTTCGTTTGGCCCGAGCCTGGCCGCTCCATCCTGCCAGGTGCCGACCCCCGCTCTCACGTGACAGGCGCACCTAATGGCGAAGTTGGTGATGCTGCGCCGATGCACGGCCCAAGTTGGGTGTTGTCGTGTTCGCAACGGAATTAATGCAGCTTGTTCATGCAGACAAGTCGCCAGGAAATCTGCCGAGGGCAGAAGGAACAGACAGCTTTTCATGGGTGGGAGCTTTACATGAGGCAGTGAGCAAGTGGCTATGTTTTGATCCCTATATGTGTTGCTGTAGATGCAGATGCCGAGTGCACTTTCCTTTAACGGAGAAGGATTGATCTTGTTTTCGTCAGCCTTGGTGGTGTGCTATCAAAAATTGTAACAAGGCAACAAGAAGTTTCACTTTTATGCCGCATAGTTTCTTGTATCATTCTTTGACGCCTTACTGCACTTAAAGGGACTATCCCACCTTTAACATGGGGTTTGAGTTGAGATAGCCAAGTTTGCGGCGAGGTTCAGAAACCACTATCTATCTAGGTTGCAACCCCCGCGGCCTCTTGGTGTTGAAGAAATTCGTTCCCTTCATTTGAAAATGGGCCTTGTACAAGGCCCTATCTTCAACATGGAGCGACCGTTAGTGTGACGTCACCTCGTTTAGTCATTCTGATTTAAATGGGTTTGTTCGTTGAAAAATCGCTTAAAACTTGGTCTGAACTTTGTTGTGGTGCCTACAGAGTAAAAAGAATCAGCTTTATGACAGTAATGTGGCCTGGGGAAGGAAGTAATTTTGGGCTGTGACGTCACATATTTGAAAGTTTGTGTTTGGAATATGGGAAGCCTAAGATGTTTAATGAAAAATAAATGCCAGAACCGTGTTCCTGGTCATCCAATCTATAAAGTCGGGCACAATTTAACTGGTTTTAACAACATTTTAGAAGGTGGGATAGTCCCTTTAAGTTTCTTTCTTTACCATCTTCAAGCGTACACAATTAACATCCACCTTCCTCCAGCCCTTGACGCTATCTTCCTTGTCCCTGTGACTCCTGCCTTCCCTGAACCCCTCGCGCTCCACCATCCTCTAACGCCCCCTCTAACCTCCTCCGTTCTCCACAGACCCAGTGCAGCTGGGCGCGGCGCCTCCAACCTCCCCGGACGGCGACCTACCCTGGTTCGAGCCGGACCCCTCTGAGAACATCACCGTACTGCTGGGGCGCACCGCCTACCTGACGTGCCGGGTGCGCTCGCTCGGCAACCGAACCATCTCGTGGGTGCGTCTGAGGGACGTGCACCTGCTGACTGTCGGAGAGACCACGTATACGAGTGACGAACGGTTCCGAGCGCGGCCAGTGACCAACAGCCCGGACTGGAGCCTGCAGGTGAGAAATAGAGAGGCATAGAGACAACGTTTGATATGGATGTTAGGAGATAGAAGGTGAGGGAGGGGAGTGGGAACTCAAAGGTCGTAGCTGGAGGGTTAACTATCATTTGTGACGAGCAGGGTGAGTTGGTAAGATGAGACCCCGGATTCGTGTGCGTTACTTGACAAAAAAATCGTGAATCTGGTCAATAGAACGCGAGCAGTTAAGATTAGAGAAACCTCCACAGCGTCAGGAGTTGAGGCATAGGCCGTGCCACACCAGTGCCAGTTCTCACGCCCTGCGTCCCGGCCATGTTTCAGGTGAAGTTTGTCCAGCACCGCGACGCCGGTTTGTACGCCTGTCAAGTGAGCACGTCTCCACCGGTGTCCTACCTCGTCCATCTCAACGTCGTCGGTGAGTACACAATGTTTTTTTTTTGTAACTGAAGATAGGATAGTTAAATGATATAGCTACAACATCCTGATACATCCTGGTACATAAATGATAATGTACTTGCGTGCTATTTCCAATAACGACGACGTACTTTGTTTTTAATTTTTTTTTTGTATGTGATGTATAAGACAAAGAAATAAGCTCAGATTGAACTAAACTGGATCCATTACGATGAAACTTTGCTTAGAATGACAAGCGCAGTTAACTTATATAGGTAGTTTTCAGCTTAACAACCGCCACCTTTGAATTTCATTTTCCTTTGAAAGCTCACGTAAATCTGGAAAACAGCTTGGCAAAGCCTTTCAAGAGTTTTAAGGCAATTTTACTTTGCCATGAGCTAAGCATATTCATGTCGATAAAATTTTGTGACCATTTTGTTAAAGCAGTTTTGTGAATCTTCAGAAACATACATATGTGAGAAACACAAAATACAGACCTCATCAAACCAGGCTGCGAGCAATGGGCATTGCCTCTTTTTTGTAGTTATGTATAGGTTTCAGTGGTGAATATAAGTAATGATGTACAGATGTAACAATCAGATCTCCTCCTCTACCCTCTAACCTCTTTCTCTTTTTCTCTCTCTCTCTCTCTCTCTCTCTCTCTCTCTCTCTCTCTCTCTCTCTCTCTCTCTCTCTCTCTCTCTCTCTCTCTCTCTCTCTCTCTCTCTATTTTTGTGCTATTTATATTGTAAGACCCAGCTAGAATGCTTCCTGAAACCGTATAGAGCGATCTCGTGCATACCTTAGCCTGTGTACACATCTAAACGGAGTGAATACTTTATCTGTATGAGAAACGGCAAGTCCCGTCACAAGGCCAAGTTCATTTATAACAAAGTTGGCGAGGATTTGGTTTGGAACGCTGCTCAGGTCAAATAGCATTCTGACAGGCAAGTGGATTACAAGCGTCTGCAGTGACACCGGCACTGGAGTGTAATGAAGAAGACTGGTCCAAACTTTGCAAACGCCATGGTACGTGGTAGCTCCATGTGATTCCATAGCGAGTGGGGACTCACTGGCTCCGACCAAAGCTCAGTATTGATGCCACATTGGACCAAATATACGGTCCTACGCCGTTAGTTGGGCCATCGTTTTAGCTTTATGTCACCATCTAGCAGCTAACCAATTAAAAGCCTGCCACATCGGAAATGTATATAAGCGGGCTGAGCTAAAAAAGGAAAGTGTTCCTCGAGCTGCAGGATAAAATGAGTTTGGTCAAATATATATTGCAGATTGTCCTAGGTCCGGCCGTAGTAACAGAGGACGACAAGCGAATGAGGCCGCAATGCAAATTGGAGTGATGCAATTCCACATATATTCTTACTCTTATCCTACGAACTAATGTCTTATTCCTCGAATTCAGCAGCAGAATTGTCCCTTTAAACATTCTCACTCCAGGCGGCAGGCAGTAACTCACCGGAGAAATGCCACGACTTGACAGCTCTAGCCGTGCCAACATATTTCCACCGTTAGGTGTTTACTGCAAGTTGGGTAACTGCACGTCATTTTCACACAGCGAGAAAAACAACAAAGGAGGAGCCTCCCGATCTCTGCCGTCCCCGATACTCTCCTCTCTGGGACAATGTCGGCCAAGACGAATACCGCGCCCCAGATCGCTCCACCACGACGCTCATGATATCGTTCATACACTGTCCCTGCGGCAACACACCGGCTAATGTCGGACAATATCCCGGTAATGTCTGTCAGCACACCACTCGTGCCGTAGACAGTAAGTGGCGGCCCGCGCGGGCGGTCTTATCTCTGGTAACATACAGGTCTTTGTCCTGTGCCATGGTGGGTCGGCCGCGGACGGTACAGCTCAGACTCACTTCGGACAGCAGTCTGATGTGCTATCAGACGGTGTTGACCCATCGATGACACATTCCTAAAGTGATCAGGGTTTTCCAGGGTCATCCCATCGGACCCATCCTTTATCCCACATCAGTGCATCGGCTGACCCCACTTCACAAGCAACCCACCCTAGATCGTACCCCACTAGGGCTTCCTCCCCTCCCCCTCCCTGCCGGCCGTTTGACCCATCCCCTGGTGTCTGATGGCCGGCACTGGGGCACTGCTGGCAGCGGGGCTCCTTAGCTGCGACAGCCCTGGCTGTCTGGTCGATAGCTGGCTGAGACGACGGCCAGACTGCCCTCCGCCGGGCCGGCCGGGCCAATGGTACGGCGCACATCCTGCTGTGGAACGATACGGTACGGTGTGCTTTATGATACGACACGGCACGGTGCGGTACGACTTAGCACGGTCCGGTACGACTCAGCACGGTTTGCTGCTACTCAGCATAGTACGACATGGAGCAGGGCACGAGTCTGTAAGAGAACAACATACGACACGGTAGGGCCGGTACGACACGGATAGAGCTCGATTTGGTATGACACGATACTAGACTGCAATGCGTACTTCTTCCCACGTCAATTCTACATATGCTAGCCAAAAATAATGCAAAGGCTATAATAGGTCGGTCAGAAATGACGCAACAGTGACGCAATGTTCTGAACTTAAGATCAATAACGGAGTTGGTAATAAGGTCTCCGAGAAGATGTGTCATGCCTTAAGTTTTGAAGATGGATTATAATGTGTTGCACAAAAATGTAAGAAACATGCTGACGTAAACAAACTTGAAACTTTGACTTGTTTAACCTATTATTGGCGTGAGATTGATCTAAACCATGACCCATATGGTCAAAAGATCTTCGCCAATGATTGGAAAGACAAAAATGCAAAAAGTGTGCAAACTGCTATCTGTAAAGATTCTTGAGCCTTTCTAGAACGCTTGATGGGGCAATATTTACCCCCATCCTTATTGTGCATAACAATTGATTCATCTCGTCACATGCTGATAGAGTACAATTCAGCACGGGATAATATGGAAGGGTGCATCTCAGCAGGCTGCCCGCTGCCGTTACGGCGCGGTACGAGCAGAGCTGTCGCTTTATTTTGCAGCGCTGAGGGTGTCCGGTGCCGCTGGGAGCACGGTTTCATTGGCGCCGCCCGCGGACTGCCATGGCCGCGGCGGGCCCGCCGAGATTGACGCCGGCGGCGCTGTCGGCCGCTCTTAACACGGACCGCCCGCCTTTGTGAGCGGATAATCAAATAAACTAAACGTGACGTGGGACACGTTCATGAGGCTGGGCTCAGCAGACAAGACCAAGCACCGCCCACCACCGTCAAAAATGTCGGCACATGTCTCGGCCGGGTATTTTCTCGAGCTGGACAATGTCACGGTAAATTGAACGAGCTTTCAGACGTGGAGCATTGACATAACTGAGAAATCATGATGTATTTTGTATATTTTCTTTTCATTCTGAGATGAGAGTTGGTGTGCTCTTAAAATTCACGCAACACCATTTTTCACAGAAGCTTGCACCCAGACTCTACAACTCTGATAAATTCACTGAACGGCCTCATATGGGTCGACAATTTCCACATGATTGAACTCTGAATTTCCATTGAACCAATCAATGCCTGACAGAGCGGCTGTCAAGCATCTCCCGTTAGCTTTTATGCCGCGCGTCCTCGCATAGCCCGACGCACGTGTGTCTCACGTCCATGCTAAATTGCCATGATATACTTCACTGGGCGTTAATCTTCCCAGTAGGCCATCAGCCACAAACGAGAGGTGCTTCTTCAGAACGGTCACCGGAAACTCGGCCCTGCTAATAATGCAACAGGTGCTCGTCGACCCAGTGAACCGAACTAATGACCTCGGGCACCTTCCGGAAGTGTTAACTTGACCTGATCCGACGCGGCCGCAATCGATGGCGCGATGGCCGACGGCGCCGCTGAGCTACTGGAGCTCAAACAGTGCTGCTGTTCAAACAGTAATACCGCGACTCAGTCCGACCTGACAGGGCTGTCGTTCAGAGATTCTGTTGTGGTATATTGCACTGTTCCTGTTCAACATTGCAACTTGAAGTGACATAAACAAAATGAGGGTGTCATTCTAACAGTGGCTGCTTCAAAGCACCTCTCAGTGCTTCATGGCATTAGTGCTATCTCACCCATTTCGTTCGGGGACATTCTGTCTGCTTTGTACCTATGCACTTTCCCTGCCACTCTCAACCATCCTGACCCATCCCGACCCTCTGCTTACCCTTGCGTGACCTCCAGAGCCACCCCGAACCTTTTCAGACCTCCCAGACTTCACCCGAGCCTTCCTAAGCCCTCCAGAACCTCCTGAAGCCTTGTCGCTCCATTGTGTGCCGTGGAGAGCCGCTATCTCGCCGCCGCAGCCCGGTGGCGGTGAATGTTTGACGCTGGCCCATCGTCACAGCCGCGATATCAGCCGCCGAACAACGACAGGCCGCCGATCCGACCGGTCTGCACAGAAAACCGAAAACCACTCCCTCCAGACTGCTGGGCGCTCGCCAGGAGATTCACTCAGGTTTTTTGAAGCGCTAAACGGCCCACGAGTCTCCTATGCTATTTTTTATTTAAGCGGGTGATGCTATTTCCAGCCGCTTCGATGGCTGCGGACAGTAAAAATACTCTCTCGTAGACGTTTGCGCCTAATCCTGGGACACACCGGATGGGGTAAATCACTATGACGTCTCGTCATGCTGCTGTCCATCAGGCCGACCGTGATGCTGATGAGGCCCATGACGGAATGGGTCACGGTCCCGGCCGGGGGTCGTTAACGGCGCCGTTTCGCTCGCCATTGCCGTCGTTGCGATCATCTCCGCCGGTACGGCCGCTGCCCGGCTATGCCTCATTGGCTCCAGGCATGGGACGTCGGTGGGCAGCGCTCGTCCGCCGCTCCGTCTGTCCATCGGGCTGCAGTTTCAGAGCCACTTTCTCCAGGACCAGTGCCCTGCAGAATCATGCTGTCGCCTGCGCGGCGGCCTCAGAGACCCTGTTCCAGAACAGCCGGCGCTAGACTGTTTCAGGCCTCGACTCGGACTGTTTTTCGGCGACCTTTCCAGTGTCACCATGTAGCCGTCAGTCGCCGTT